TTTAGTATTTCTCAAGACCATACAGGCCTCAGCCTACCATGAATACTCTGAGTCGGGGCTGGTGAGATAGCTCAGTGGTCTGAAGCACCTACTTAGAACAAGCTTAGTAAAGCACAGGGACCACGGTTCAATCCCCAGCACCACATGCCAGCCAGCCCCGCCCCCTGGTGGGCTGAGCTGGCCACACACACACACACAAATTAAAAAAAAAAAAAAAAGAAAAGCCATTCGATTAAAAAAAAAAAAATACTCTGAGTCACCTATAAACCTCTTAGCAAAACTAATCTTTATTCAAATTTTAAAATAAAACAAAACATTCTGAAGCAACAGCACTTTACATTAAAAATGACAGTGTGGATAACAGAGCCAACCAAGGGACTAAAAATGATGATCCATCCACTTTCTATTTATATTCAGCAAATCTCAAAAAATCTGGTTTACTATATGTGTAAGTCCAAGAAAATGCTTTCCTTTTCCACTCATTTGTATCTGCTTAAAGAACTACAAATCAGCTTCTTGTATTTCATTGACAAGAAAATAAAAATCACTACTGATGATGCCTGAAATTATACTGTACCTCTTTCTTTTTTTTTTTTTTTTTTTTTTTTGGTGGTGCTAGGGATCAAACTCAGGACCTTGTGCTTGCCAGGCAAGCACTTATTCCACTGAGCTATCTCCCCAGCCCCGCTTTCTTTTTTTCAATGTCTATTTTGTGGTGCTAGCTATGCTTGACTTCAAGGCCTCACATGAACTAAACATGTATTTTAACAATGAGTTACAGCCTCAAGACTTTTTTCTTTTTTGAGACAGGGTTTGCTAGTAAGTTGCACAGGCTGGTCTCAAGCTTTTGGTCTTTATGCCTCAGCCTCCGAAGTAGCTGCAAATATGGGTGTGTGGAAGTGTGCTCGGCTATTATATTAGATCCTCACATGAGCTTTTATGATGAAATGGAGAACCACCAAACATCATCAGAACAATAAACATTCTGACAAAAGCATTAAGATACACAACAGCAATTTCAAAAACTTTCCAAATTATTTCTGAGGTGGCAACAAAAGATTAGCTGAAGTTAAAATATTAGATTTGAGGTCAGTTAATAATAACCCAGTGCATTTACTAGAAGCTCTATTAAATTAGTAATTTAAAAGATGTTTGTCAACTCCTACAGTTCGGGAGCAAGAACCACTGCTTTTGGTTTCTTACTTGTTCCAAATTCTATCTGATCTTATTAAGTGTTCTCTTCCTACCTTTTGGGACATCTCACTAAAGGCAGGGAGAGCCACTGTTTACCAACCACTGAATTTTGCGCACTAACTTTCATCTCTGAAAATCCTGATAGCCATCACCAACTCTATACAGAAACTCCCTCATCCTCCAGCAGGCTGAGGACAAGCACAGGCAGGAAGCATTCCTGCGATACACCCAGCCCCAGGAGGGGTGCGTGTGAAAATGGAGGTAAAAGCCAAGGTGCTTGTCTTCACGTGGACTCTGTATATAAACATCTATCTATACATACAGATATACATACACACTTTTAAAATTTTAATCTCTGAAATTATAATGGAGAGAAACTAAAGTTGCTCATAAAGACAAATCAAACTCTCATCTCATACTTGGAAGTTTAATTCTTCTAGTTATAACTAATTTTTACCTTTTCATAATCTGACACAGTCAATAAAATGCAAGCTATAAACATAATACAGGTGTTGGTAAACTATATGTGTTCAGGCCCAATCCAGTTCACTCCTGTTTTGGGAAATCTTATCTGAACATGGACTTTTCATTCACTTATGGCCTTATTTATGCTGTTAGCCAAAGCAGAAGAGTTCCAATAACGACTACACGAGGGCCCACAAAGTCTAAAAGATGCACCATTTCAGATCTTGCCATAAAGTCTGTGGGTCCCTATCTTAGTATATTATAACTACAACTGACAGCTACTAAGTACATGGACCAGGCTATATACTCAGCAATTATCTAAAACAGACATTATCCCTTAAGTTACAAATAAACCACACTTAACCTCTAGAATAATAACAGAATTATAGTTGCCTGGGAATCTGTATTAAATATACAGATTTTTCAGTCTTTCTGTAGAAATTTTCATTTAGTTCGTCTTCAGCAGGACCTAGAGAGCTGCTTTATTCCAAGAATACTGATTCTCAAGCAAATAGTCAAAACTAAATATAAGTATTTCTAAAGCAATAAAATGATTGATAAGTGACCTTAGTGTGCTTGGTTCCAGAATCTATATTCTGAGTTATCTTGGTCATGACTCAGTTTTAATGTATTTGTTTTTGAGAACTGCTTAGAAATTTCTAGTTAAAATATACAAAAACAACATTAATTTGGTTGAAAAACATATGAGAGGCTTCAAAGTGGTCCTGTATAAATTTACTGAGTTTGACTAAAATTCTTACTTTTGAAAAGTTAAGAGTTTAAACTATACTACAGATGTTAAGGCCAGCCCCTCGGCTTTCATTCCTTTTTTGCACCTCTTTGTATCTCAAAAGCTGGAAGCCCTGGGCCCCAGTCATATGAACTGCTGATATGAGGCAGCCAATGAAACCTGTTCGTGAATATACTATGCAGTTTAATCAATTATTCTATGTGCAAATTATTTAAATCTCAAAATATTCAACTTGGCTCTTACATGCTATAACAGGGTAACCAGTTACATAATCTTGGAATCTACATTTAAAGTTCTAAGGAACCTTTTTGAGACCACTGGCATATGCATCAATGCAATGCTATAGTGTCAAACATGAAGGTTTTATACCTTAAACTTACTAAATTTAGAGATTATGAGGGATGTTATCGTCTAACCATAACCAAAGACTTAAGCTAGATGGTTCCATTATCCCTAAGCCATCGGCTAATTTGAAACCTGACACCAAAGACTAGGATAAGCTTTCTTATCATGTTTCCTCGAGTTTTAGATATTCCTGAACATTCAAACCATATTTTCTTAATAGCAACTATTCACACAGGAATATGATTTTTTCAAATGGATACTACAGGTACAAATTAGCCTTCCTAATGGCATTATAAACTACTGAAAGGGCAGGAAAAACGTATAATCTTTCCATAACCTAAAAACATTAACCACAAAGACCAGAAGAAACATGGCACAAAATGGATATCTACTGCTAAAGGGACACAAATACAACAAAATAGTTACTTTTATGGACCTGAATATATTCTTCTATATAGGAAATAAAATTAAGACACAAAAGCATGCCTGACCTAACTTCTGGCCTGTGTGCTGGGACACAGACACACACACACACACACACACACACAACAACAACAACAACACACACACCCCTTTGACTTGTGAAAGCCAAATTGAAGCATAAGGATGTTATCTAAAAATATAAGAACTTTTAATATAGCTGACCAATAGTTTAGAGCTGAGCAACTATTTAAATGAGAAGTAAAACATCTAAAATAAAGTAATCTGATTTTTTTGGGCCCTTATTTTTAATGTTAAAGACAAGTTTGCTCTATGAAATGAATATGCAAAAGAAAACATAAAAATAAAAAATGGAAGGTTAAATTATAGTCCAAAAGAAATAGCAGATTCTTTTTATTAACTTGCAGTTAAAAATAAAGCTGAGTGTCCACTTCAAATGTAAGATGAAGTCCCTCATTTGAATGTTATTATGTCCTACACTGAACTTAAAAGCTAATACACTGCTATACTGCTTAACTAATGTTCTTGTCTACAAATGGCATTGAGATTTGGTTACTAGTATATTGTAGAGTGCGTATATACTACGACAAGTATGTACAATAAATGGTCGATAATTCATTAATGCATATTGCCAAGCACTTAGGGTGTACCTGAATTTTAAAATAAAAACAATCCACCCAAAAATATCAAATGTTCCAATTTAAAGATGTTAGCTCAGAATGTTTAAAAACATAATTTCTAATCCATATTAAAATATCAAATATAAACAATACTCAATCCTTGAGAATATTCATTTGGTTGATTTTCAAGCTAAAGCTGGCTATAAATACTAAGAAATTTTGTATCAGAACAGTCTCAACTATAATAATAGAAATCCTAAGTAGTAACTTACTATAATTATGACCATGTTAATGAGAATTCTTTGGCTCTCCCAACAGCACACATTTTTCCTGTCAAAAGCAATAGCTTCACTGTTTCAAGTACACTTTCTTAAATACTTATCATTTAATCAAAATTGTATTTTTAAATGTCAATTTAGTATCTGAAGGGCATCTACCCTTTAGCAACCAAACCTCAAGCCACTTTACCCAGTGATATAATTCAACCAAATGTTTCTCAGGTAACAAAACAGAAACTCTGAATGCAATATATGAACATTCACAAAAACCATTCCACCTGAAAGTATCAATGTCTACCTCAAAAATATTACAACTATTTAACAAAAGCTTCTTGACTATTACTTTATTAGATGTAAATCTGAACAACTACAAGTATGTCCTCCATCTCTGGCTCTCTCCTTAGCATCAACATATATAACAAATCAGCACAATAAACAGGTGATGAAAAACCTAGATACATTTATTTCTAATACTGTTATCTTTCCCAACACTGTCAGAAGACTGTGAAGACAGAAATAAAGCAGTGCAATGTCAATTTGTTGATTTTTCCATAGTCCCCATTACAAGCAGGTACACTTCCAAGTCATAAATAATCAAATAAGTTTTAGAATTATATGTATGCATAAACAAAATCATTTCATCATTTTATACTTAAATATCCAATAGGAACCACAACTATTTCTAACAAACCAACTTTTAAAAACATTTTATACAAATATATATGGCATACTTCTAATTTATCAGTTATCATGACCTTATAACCTAAAAGAAAATATTTAAAGGTTTTATGCATGTTTTAAGCCTTGCATTTGAATTATATTTACTTTTACTCATATAAAGATCAAAAGACAATTAAGAAAAATTTAAAAATTAACCTTTCCTTACTACTGAGGTCAAATACCTACCTTGTTTCTCATTGTAGATTATATTCTTACACAATAGGTCATTGTGGCAAAGCACCACAGGTGAGCCCAGGTTGGAAAGAATTTCCTTCATCCAAGTCATCTCTTCTTGAAGAATCTGAGAGCTTGGGATATCACTTAAGAACCTATTAAGTTTCAAAAGAAGAGCTGCTTGTATATAATGATATTTTTTCAAGTTTGATTAAGTATTAAATCTACTTTGAGTAAGTCTTTTCCATTTAATTACATATGCTACTGAATTAAAACAACTGAAATATGAAGTAAAAAATGCCGAAACAAAGTAAATCTTTAGAATGAGCTTCAACATGAATTTAAAAACTGAACAACAGTTAAAATGTAGACCAGTAAAGTTTTAAAAAGAACTTATCAGTACAAAATTGGAAGGTAAATATATAATTAGCATTAAGTACTATTCTAAAACGCTTTATGTTTATTCCCGTTTTATAAATTTAAAAAGGTATTAAACTACTTAAAAACTATTAATGCTGGGGCCAGCAAGATGACTCAGTGGAACAAGTGCTTCCCTGGCAAGCACAAAGGCCTGAGTTCAATCCCCAGTTCCACCAAAACAAAACAAAACAAAAAACTATTAATGCCTATTTCAAGCTAAGAAGTGTGACTACAATAGGAAGCATCTAACCTCAAAAAAGTCGATACATCATTGAGATGATAAATTAGTATGCAAAGGTAGTTTCATTAATTACAGTAATAAAAAGACATAACTAGAAATTGAAAGTGTTGAGAATGGCAAGAGTGAAGGGCAATATGACAGGAGAAACTAGCTTGTCGTGGCTTTTCGTCTCCTGCACTGCACTATGTTCTAGCTACATCAACTTGATAAAAAGCAAAATGGCCCACGAACGGATACATTAGTTCTTCAATAGCACCACAGAATTGTTACTGAATTGTTTACTCTCTTTCTAGTCTTAGTATCTGCTGTGTTTGTGTTATTTTGACAGGTAATCTTGCATCCTGTTACTTATTATCCATTTTACAATATGAAACTAATTTTTTTTTCTTTTTACAGTATTGAATTTATTCATTTGGTTTTCTACCTATATTTTCCTCATTATCATATGTTTCTGTAAAACTTCCAAAAGTAATCCTTTTATATTATTTTCAAGATAATGTACGTGTTGAAGAATCTTTGAGTTATTTTTATTTATTTTTTAATGTATTTGGTACAAGGTCTCACTACACAGCTCAGACTCGTAGTGATGTTCCTGTTTTCTGCCTCCCCAGCACTGAGATTAGAGGCATGCACCCTCACGTCCAGACTCGATGGTCGGCTCAGTATGCCTGGGGGTGGGGCCAGCGCAGCAGTTGATGTCAGGGATCTAACCGGGTCCCTGCACTGGCCTAAGCAGGTGCTTATTCCACTGCGCTATCTCACCAGATCTCTTTTTTTAAAAAAAGGTATAGGAGTCAAAGGATTATGAATATAATAATCACATACAACTAAAAGGAAATGCAAAAAAATAAAAATATTTTTCATATTTTAATTTTAGTTCTGTACTATCTATTGAAGCATGGTATTTTCTCCTTTTTATTTATCACAGAATACCTCCAGCTTTCCCAAATCTCACTAACCTCATGGGTTTAAAGTGGACCTCGATGCCACAGATATGGAGAAAAAGGAAAGCACCTATACTGTTGGTAGGAATGCAAACTAGTACAACCACTATGGAAATCAGGGTGCAGAGTCTTCAAAAACTAAAAACAGAAATTCCACTGGACCCAGATATCTCTCTTCTAGTTATTTTCCTCACAGTTAAGAATCATCATATCATAGGAATACACACACACTCATATTTACAACAGCAAAATCTGTAATAGCTAGATCTTAGAACGCATACGTCCATCAACAGATGAATGAATAAGGAAAATGGTATTTATATAGAATGGAGTTCCACTCTGCCATAAAGAAAGAAAATCAAGGTATTTATAAGGCAAATAGATGCAGTTTGAGACCATAATATTAAGTGAAATAAGCCACACACACAAGCATAAATAAATACAGCATGGTCTTTTTTATATGAGAAACTCAAAATAGATGTATATATGTACACACAGAGAAAGCACAATACATAATGGATATATAGGGAGTAGGGAGAAGTTCAAATAAATTCACAAATTACCTATTCTGTTGTTTCAAAAATATTTTACTATATACACTAAGTAGTTCCACTTGTACTGCATACATAACAATACTACTTTCCCTTGGTTCATTGCAAAGAAAACTTTATGCTATTACCTGTTTTTATAAGTCATTTTTATCTATGTCTTACACTCTGAGTAACTTACGACTATGATAGTGTATTATTATTATTAGTTATAAATTCTTTATATTTATTTATTTATTTTTCTTTTTGGCAGAACCAGGGATTGAACTAAGATCCTTGCACTTGCCAGGGAATATAAATTCTTTTATTTTCTCATAAAACTGAAAATCTAGAGAATCTAGGAAATGTAACACAAAAGTAAGCTAAATAAGCTTCTCTAAATAATAACATTTACTTAGCATTTATGTGGCCAGGAACTTTTTAAGGACTTTGTATTAACTCAATCCTCTTCAATAATAGTAATAATAATAATAAATTAATAAGCTTCTGTTGTCATTTTTATTTGATGGATGGAGTCAGAAAACTTCCCCCAAGGCTTACAGCACAATTGCTGTCTGGCAGAAGGATCTCAATCTGGACCCAGAGTGCTGTGCTCTTAAAACAACAGCATACTGTCTCTCAATTCTGCATTACCTTCAGTTACAATCTTCCAATAAAGTAGCCATTTCACAAAACAACCGTGTTTTTATGCTATAGCTTCCTGAATATCCAGCATACTGGATATCACTTCCTGAGGCCTGCCAGTTCTGCCTTGAGAAGTATTCCTACCAAATGAAGAACAGACCTTCAGTATGTGCAAGGGATTGGTTTTAGCACCTACTATGGATACCAAAATCTACAGATTTCTCAAGACCCTTATATGATATGACATAATATTTACACACGTCTCCTCTCTACTTTGAATTATCACTAGGTCACTTACATTACCTAATGCAGCATAAATGCTATATGGTTGTTATACTGTATTGTTTAGAGAATAACAACAAAAAAGTATTTTCCACCTGCACGTAGCAGAATCTGGATGCAGCGTCCAGATAGAAAGGGCTGACTTCGAGCCGGGGAGATGGCTCGGTGGAATAAGCGCTTCCCTGGCAAGCGCAAGGGCCTGAGTTCAATCCCCGGTTCCGTCAAAAAAAAAAAAAAAAAAAGGGCTGACTTTAAAGAGTACATCAAATTAAACTTTTAAATAATCAAATCTAAGAGCTAATTTTTCCTAATGAATTATAATAAAGGAAACAAGGGAAAAGAAAACCTATTATAGGTCCTGCTTATCTCTGTTGTTCATGAAACAGTTCCTAAATACAACAATGCAGCCTTCACACATGCTCTGGATATAAAGGACAAAATAAAATTTCCAATTTTGTATTAGTAATAATCATGTTCTATAAACATATTCATATGATTTAGATTTTATTTATTTATTTTTGTATTTCTGGGGAAGGGTCTACAGGGTGTTCAGGGTTTTACTACTAGATTGGATCCATAGTGATCTGCCTGTTCACAGCCTCCCAAGAGCTGGGATTACAGGTGCACAACACGCCCAGTCTCAGTCACTATCTCAGCATGCCCTGGGGACAGGGCTGGCATGGCAGGCCTGGGGACTGAACCCTTGACCCCTGCACCTGCTTGCAGGTGCTTTAATCTGCTGAGCTATTTGGTTGGCCCTATGATTTAGATTTTATATACTAATAGTAAGTTTTTTATACAGGAAATAATGAAACTCCATAGTCTGTTTCAGCCTAGGGAGTCAAGTGTCACAAAAGCCTAATAAAAATACAGTAAGCGAATATCTGGCCTCCTCTAGCACAATGAATCACCATAGTAAGCTACAATAACCCAAGGTTTTCATGTTACTGCACTGCTTCAATGCAGATCTCTAGGCCTTTTCAAATCAGCCTTAAACAAAAATAATTTGAAAAAGATCCTTATGGCCAACTCATGAAAAACTGCCCCTACTCATCACGACCTCTGTAACGATCTTCAAATAAAGGTTCTGCATTTGTTCCTTGTCCCTCAATCTCCACCACTTTTGTTGTCTTAGGATTTTGGAGGAAGGAAGCAGGAATATACAGCAGTTACTTCTATGGTGCTGTCTGAAAGTCAAAATATCAATCCTGTTTTCCTACTCTATTGCAAAGAGATTAACAACCCAGACTGCATACATAAATACATGTAGCTATCTTTTGAGTCCTTATAAAACAAAGCAATACTAAAAAGAATTCAAATGTAAAAGTAAGCTTACCTTTTATTAATGTCTTCATCTGCAAATCCTGTGGGAATGAGAGAGAAGTATTTTCCCATCTTTAGCCACAGGTTAGATTTGGGGATCCAGCCATTGTGTGCATGGATAGCATGAATTTTAGCAAGGTGACGAGCTATTAGCCTGTTTAAAACAAAACAGCATAAAAAAAGAAAAAAAACATGTATCATAAAAATTGTGGGCCATATCCAAAACACTGAATGGGACATTAGTTTAATGTGACTAAATGCTTTGCACTTCATGATGAGTATGTAACCCTGGTTGGCTTTTAATATAACTACAGTATTTTGTGCTGATAGTTAATGCATGTGTGACCTCTCTAACTAAAGCTAGAGGGACTTACAGCAAACTGTCAAACTCCATGAATAAAGGGGTCTAAAAGCTAGTGAGTTATGATTGCTAGGTCTCAAAAAGGTTTATAAATGTACCTGTTAGCTTGAATATTCATGCTTTGATTATATATGTTCTAATATCTCA